GCTACTACTGTTACTGCTACTACTACGACGCTACTACGACGGCGACGACTACGACTACTACCCAGGTGGGTGACAAACACTATTGCTCATAATGATATTCATGATACTACTTTCTATTGCTACAAATACGACTACGCCTACGAGGACGACGACTCCCATTACTACTGCTGCGACTACTACCACTACTAGTACGGCTACTTGCTCTGGTTCTCGGGCTGCGACGACGGCCACTACTACAACTACTCCTCCGACGGCGACTACTACTGTGACAAAAACCACCACCCAGCCACCGCCACCACCGCCACCAATACCAGCACCACCACCGAGCCGCACATTGGTTTCGGTTTTTAATTACATATGTTAGCTTTTTGAGCTTCTTGTGTTCTTAGGTCAAGATTGTCTGGAAGCCGTCATTGAAAATGGCGACTTACAAGCGCAAAGCACTTCTTCGCGCCACTTGGGCTGAACTTGTGTTGTGCATTTTCGGGCCGCATTCGTAATTGTTCGTTGGTGTCGCCAGAGTGTATCACTGCATAGTGCTTGGGAGGTTGAAGTCAGCATTGATAGAACCGGCTTTGGGCTGGGATGGCTGGAAGTATTTCTGGTTTGTGTCGGCCAGCTCTCGTTTGACAGGGTTGACAGGTGCTCTTCGCCGAAAAGGGTGTTCGAGCTTGTTGCCTAGGAAAAGCATGCGATGATACCGCTCTACTGGCTCTTATGTTTGCTGCGTGTTCAGGGTTTTGCTTGGGGATTTTGCATTTGCTTCAATGCCACCCTGCCAATAATCTGAATCTATGCGAAACCCAGGCGTGCGAGGAGACCCTGGGAGCCAACGCCCCTGGGCTCAATATTGATCTAGGCGTATTTAATCATCTCACCTGTCATCGTAGAGGCCGTCATAGTCGCAGCACTTGCGATGACAGATTTGCCCGTCTCAGGGTGTGTGTCCTCTTAGGCCGGTCTGTGGCAATGTTGCATTCACTGACGGACAGCAGCCATCGAAAGGATATTCTCAGGTTTTGTCTGAAGGTGATATGGCACAAGCAATCCTAGACAAGGTCATGCTTGGCGATGCCAGCCGTCAGTACAGGCTTAACATCCAGCAAGCTCAAAGCTACGAAGGGCGACAGGTTTGTCGCATTGCTTACCCCAACTGCTGCTACCCCTGCTGCTACTGGTACTGGTACTACTATAACAGCTACTGCTACTCCTACTGCTACTACCACCACCCCGACGATTCTGCTGCTGCTACGGCTACGGCTGCTGCTACTATTACTCCTGCTGCTGCAACTACTACTGCTTCCTCTTCTCCTTCTTCTACGGTTACTGCTACTGCTGCTGCTTACTGCTACTGCTACTACTACTACGACGACGACTACTACTACTAATAGTACGACGACGATGACTACTACTACTACTCCTGCTGCTGCTACTGCTGCTGGTACAACAACAACTACTACTACTACGACGACTACTACCACTACTCCTCCTGCTACTACTACGACGACGACTACTACTACTACTTGTGCCACCACCGCCATTGCCATTGCTACCTACTAGTTATGTATGCTGACAACTACGACGACGACGACTACTACTACCACTACTTCTGCCACCACCGCCATTGCCATTGCTACCTACTAGTTACGTATGCTGACAACGACGACGACGGCTACAAACCTACTGAAGCCACTGCTAGTTCTTGGTCGTTTTGGATGATGGTTTGGTGACCCCCTGCAGGAGGCAGCAAACTAAGTGGAGCACAACTAGGGCTCTTATTCTTTCTACTTACCACTGCTTGTAGCTGTAGCAATGGACACGAACCCGGCCTAGGTGCGGTATTCCTGCGAGGACGGCTGGTGCAGTTCCTGCTGGCATGCGGAAGAAGCCCGTCCGCGTCCGAAAACGAACTTGGGAACAGACTGGGTTGGGAAGGTGTAGCCAATGGCACTTCTCGCGTAGCAACACAGTTGCATCCAAAGTCCTAGCTGATGTCCTATCATGGCATGGTAAGGGTCGTACAGTTCGGTCGTTAAGTGATGCTTTTTGTCGCGTTCAGTGCGTATCCTGGCGGTGGAAGCTCATGCCTGTTGCCTGCCATCCCAGGAGACGTACATGACTGCCACCGGCTCAGGCTTTATGAGAGTTGGTGCCGGACATTCAAGCCGCTCAAGCTGGGCTAACGAGGGATCACGATCCTAGGTCTTTCGGATCTGCAAGATGGACGCTTCCAGCCCAGTGCATCTTGTGGAGTTCAAGACAACGTCTGTACACTTGCTCAGATGCTGCCGCCTGCTCTCCTCAGTGCTCAGGTCCCTGAGAAGTGGGACAACGTTGTGCCCTTTGTCTTGCTGAGTGCGCTGGAGGTGAAAAACACGAAAGGCAGCTCAAAGTTCAAGGAATGGGGATGTCGGGGCCGGGCTGATAGTAACTTAGACGGCTGGGGTAATATGGACCTGCAACTCCCCTGCTTCGTGGTTTGCTTCAACGTATCTTGTATGCTTTACGGCTCTACAAACGTGGGAACACGCGGCGCAGGTGTGCTGGTCAAAAACCTGATGCTGCTCGTATGCAAGCCTTTTCGACCAGGTGTGTGTAAGTGGCCTAAGCGAGTTTTCCGACATGCCGGTCTGCAGCTGAACTGTGTTGGTTTAGCCGCATTGGCACAGCTTCTCTGCAAGCCAAGATAGAGCCCTACTCATTGCATTTCCGCCTGTCTCTTTTGAATTATCAGCTGCCACGTAGTCCTGTCCACCCATGAAGTATCCCAGGCAGGCAGACGGAGTGAAGCCGCCGCGGCAAGACGGCAAGCTAGGGTAAGTGACACCACAAGAGTGGCTGGAGCGATTCCTGCAAACAGCGCAAGGATGTGGAAAGAGCAAGGGAGGCGATAATAGAATTATATATAGTATAAATTCATTTAATATAGTTTACTAAAACTTAATATAATATATTACAAACTAGTTAGTCTGTTGCTGTTATTTGGAACCTGATTGCATCCAACTCCTTGGGCTACTGGGACCTTAGGGCTCCTGACATCAGGCAAGGCAAGTGCCCTCCTTCACGCACAGGACCAGTTTGTTGTTTCGGCGTGCAGCCAATTTTCTGTATATTCTGCATGATTTTCATGGTCTCACTCCATTGTAGATGGGTTGAAATCGGTGTTCGGCCCATTTGACAGAAAGACTCCTGCGAAACGAAGCGAAAATGGTTTGGTGCGGCTGGGACTGAAAAGTCCCCAGTCTCATGCCTAGCATCACGGCCCTATCAGGAAGGGCTCAGAAGCCTCTCGAGAAGCCACGAACACTCACACCGCCTCAGGCAAGAGATGCGAGATGGCAGGCTTTGCTGACATACTCTCTGTCTCTGGCAGCCAAAAAGTGCCGGCCAGAGCTGGCAGGAGAATCCACCTCGGAGCGTGGATGCAATTTTCTTCAAACCTACCCCCGAAGTCTACCAGAGCCCGACGCCCCAAGAAAACCTGTGGGCCGATACCACTCTCCTCGTGATTAGTAGCCAAGCCGCTGGCTGCAGTTCCACGGGCAATACAAGGACCGAAGCGAATATCTAGCCTGTTCTCTTGGCATGAGAAAGCTGTCTGAATTTAAATACTAGAAATAGGGTCATGTCGATCCTCATGGTGTATATAGTGCCCCGGAATCCGTCCTCCCATGCTTCTCGGCTCTTGTATTCTATTAGCGGCACACGTGCTTCTCGGTCATGGTCGCTCAGATGGGATCAGATACTTGCGAGCCCTAGAGCCCTAGAGTGTCTGCTGATCCTGAGCCGCGACCATTTCCGAAGTTTCATGCCATGCGAGAAGATCCCAAAGCTGGCCAAAGCGGGAGCGCCGACGGCCTGGCATGCGCGAGCTCACGACCTAGCCGCAAAACATTGAGGTGTGGTGTGTTCTTTGTTGGCAAACCTATGTAGTCCCGGGTATCGGGCACTAGTTCCGACGCAGGCTTTGTGTTCGATTAGGACGTCGATTGCATAAGATATAGCATAGTACTCTGGATTCGGGAACTGCGCACGTTTAGCAGGCTTCCATTCGAGGCACTGCTGTCAACTGACAGGAACCAAGCGCAGCAATGTGTGGCTTTCGCGGCTTTTGTAGCAGCATCGGATCAGGCTGAGGCAACTCTGCACCGGGCCTATTTGTCGCCGATGTCGTACGGCTCAGACAGACGGCAATTAATGTTCAACATGGCAAAGTGACCATGCAGCGTGCACACCCGCCAGCTTCTGGGCGAGTGCATCCACCACCCATAGCAACGCCGAAGCGATTGCATCTGCCAAGCTGAACATCTCCCAAGGCGTCCCACCCAACCAAGCCCCATTCAACTCCAGCACCTCGTGCTGCAACCAACCTGGGGGCCCAGATCGCCTGGCCAACTCAGCAAAGTTTAGTGGGTGCAGTCACAGCTCATAGCTTCCAGATTGGCTAGGACGCTAGACTCGAAGCACTATGCCCAAGATGGGATTGTAGCAGTACGCTAGTGCTGGTCCATAGGTCCAAGCCGCATCTCATCTTCCTGCAACCTTTGTTGTCACAGACCATACGGGGTTCGATTCTTGGAAGCCCCAGAGCCGCGGCCAAGCTCAGAGCGATCCGGCCATGGTGGTGCGATGAATGGAACCTCGAAGTCCTTCAATGCAGCTCCCTTGGAGGAGGGCAGAGGGTTCTGCACATTTAGGCGCCAGTTGTGTGCCAGAGTATCGGCGGCAAGCTTCGAGATTTGAGCGACTCGCAGCTGTTGGCTGGGTTTCCAACAGATTCAGCTCTGGATCGGGAACTGGAGCGAACGAGCACTACAGCTCGGTTCCTGTCCACATAGTGTGTTTTCAAGCCGAATTCCAGCTTCGTCCGTGCATCATGTGGTGTGGTTGTCGCGCACATGCTTTGCTATAGACAGGAACTCAAGCATCGCATTGAAATCTGTGAGCTCGCACTACCGAGCTCAGAGCGTGCTTGATGGATTAGACATGGCTCGCTGTTTCTCGAGTTCGTAAAGATTCTACACCGTAGATTGTAACCTGGCAATCAATGAGCACATAGGGTTCGATCATGTAATTTGGCTAACTCGATCTTGCAAGCGCGAGAGAGAGAGAGAGAGAGAGAGAGATTACGGGGGTAACAGTCCCCACTAAGTCCATGGGGGGCCCTATGGGCCGGGGGGCCTGACCCGCCCCTTTAACCTGAAGGAAGAATAAGAGAGATTACGCCCGAAGGAAGAAGGAAGAAGATTTTACAAGTGCCTCCATGTTTGACCTGCTAATCACTAAGCAGGACGATGGAGCCCTGGATTTGGCTGCTGGGAATTCAAAGCCAGCCGTCACCCTGTTGCTTCTGTGGAAGCTGCCATACATACTAGGCTCGTAGGTATTCGTGTTCGTCTCGGGCAGTCTAGTCTTAGGCCATCGATGTCGTTCTGATTTTGGTAACCTGGTAGTAGCTCTCGTCGTTGTTTCCTCGTACGTATGATTAATCTTGATTACGATCGCGGCATTCAGCTCAGGACGAAGGCATCAGTACATGCGACCCATGGCCCGTCTGATCAGCGCACGAGCCCTCAAGAAGTGGAACTTTCAGGCCGCAGCTCAAGCCCCATGTCCTCAGCCAATCTACCGAATCTACCAGCAAACTTGGAGTTTCTTGCTGCGGTGGAATGTGCTTAGCTACGACTCAGGCGCTCATGGTTACGGAGCATCCGGCTGTGAAGTCGTCTGGTGCTGCTATGCTGGAGAGCATGCGACATGCAGCCTGTCTGATCAGAAGCGAGGTTTTTCCGCGATGAGCTGTCTCGCGCAGCACTCCCTGTCTCAGATGACCAGGTGAACGACCTGATCCAGAGATGCGGACCCTGGGTAACTTCGGGCGACTTCCCTGCGGAGAGGACGATCGAGTCTTGGCGACATAGTCGGCCAAGCTACTGCTCCTGCCTGCTAGTAGCAGAGTTCCAGTCAACCAAGTCGAGCCTAAGGAAGCAAACAAAGAGGTTCTCACAGCGCTGACGAAGGCGCACAAGGGCATTGGAAGAACGGCGGGTCTATTTTGCACGTAGCTGGCGAAGGCGAAGGTAATGGAACAAACGCTTGTCGAAGAGATGTTGCTGAATGCTGTATGATGTATGTTTACACACGCACGCACGCACGCACACGAAGCGAGTTGCTCATTTACATATAAATCCAATACACAAATGGCGGTTTTGAAGACATACAAATGTACATGTGCTTGTTTATACACATCATGTAATGAGCTGTTGCATCTTCAGATCTGCATGTGGACATGCTCGCCTACGTGCTTCTGCTTCTGCGACCCTTATGTGTAGTTACGAGCGATATTAATGCTTAGTTATTCGTTTCAGTACAGACTGACTCAACTCTGCAGGTCCAGAACGACATGCAAAAGCTGGATGACATCGATCTCGATGCCCTCAAGCCTGCGTGGGGCGATCGGGACTCCGCCATTTTGTCTGCACCCGGTTCGGTGACGTTCGGTGCAGGATGTAATCTGGCTTTCAAGTTCAGTGGTTGGTTCGTGGAAACGGGAGGAAGGGGCTTCGTGAGGACTGGACTGCTTCAAGATCTGCGGGGTGCTCTGATGGTTCCCATGATGCTTACGAGCATATGATAGCCTAGGGTGGACCCTAGTTCAGAACAACACTGATCCGATGTTGAGTGGTGAACTGGCTGTTTGCAGCCCAGCCTGTCTTGACCGCTGAGATCTATGGCTGCCTCGGGTTTCTCAGAATGACTGTGAGAATCCACTCAAGAGGGATGTAGCCTGGAGCTTCGACAAGAAGATGCCAAGCTGCAACATGGGCTATGTAATCCATCCGGGCCTGCGAGCCACCCTACAGGAGCCAAGAACCCATTTTGCTGAGGTCGTGTGCGTGTACCCCTCCCTTCTTCACTTAACGGTTGGTTTAGCTTACGAATACATGCTTGCCCGGGACTTGGGTTGCGAACCTCTTCAGTCATTTCGGAACGATTTGCCTGCGGTGCGACTTGTCGGCCGGGCAGGTGGGAAAAAAAGCAATCAGCAGATGCCGAGCCCGAAGACAAGTCGCAATCCGCTAAGAGACCCGCAAGCTTTGAACCTGAGAGGTTTTGTCGATAATTATCTCTGGCAGATGCACGAAGCATCTCCGAGGAACAGGGCCAAGAAAGCGGATTGCAAGCTTTCGATCTGCAGGTCCGCATGGCCAGGAAGAGCTTGATTGGCTGCGCGCAGGTCGCTTAAGTTGAGCCGGCAGTTGTTTTGCTGGGTGGGTTGGCGGTGTGTAGGGGGTTTGTGAGACACTTTGGGTCGTCGTCGAGTTTCGGAACACTGGCGGCTGTAGGCTTGGGCTTGTGTCCGCACAGTGTCCGCACTTACCATTTGCGGTGCCAGTTCCTGCCCCGTGTACTGTTGCTCCTGGCAGAATCTGTTTGTCCGGTTGCCCGTGAAGTAGATAACAGTAGATAGCCTTTCGTCCCCACAACGTTTACCCGTTTACCAGCTACCTTTCTGCAACAAGAGGCACTGGCATAGAGCATCTTTTGTAACGGCCAGAAGATGGTCCATGATCACCCGTACAGGAGATCATGAAGCGTCTGGAGTCTCTGAAGGCATGCTTGGCCTCACCCATTTCGCACCTTGGCACCAGTGATTCATTCAAGTAACACGTAGTGGAAGCTTCATTTGCTTGAACGAGGTTTTGAGACAGAGAGGGAGAGTGTGATTGCTTCCACCGTGGCAATTTGTACTGTGTTGCTGCCAATCATACACATGTTTTTATACATCTCTCTCTCTCTCTCTCTCTCTCTCTCTCTCTCTTTCTATATATATATAATATATATATATACACACACGTATTTTCGATCTCGTCGTCATATCCCCACAAAGCCCCTGCATGAGCCTGGTGGCCTGGGGACTTAACTCGTCCGCATGGAAGTTTAATAGCAAGTCTTGCGGTGTTCCATGTCCTTACCTGTCAAGTGTAGAGGGCACGTTGCCACAAGGATTTCTTTGTCCAGATGCGGCATGCTACAATGCCACGGCTGAAGCTGCAGCATGTGAGCGCTAGATCTGCCTGAAGTCAGGAAGTTCTCTTCTATGCGAAGCAGTCCGCGGCAAGAGACGACCTTCTATGGCTGGGGCTTGGTACCTCAGCCATACAACCACGGGTTCGCAGTGGCGAAATCCCAAACTGGCGTTCGCAGGGATGTGTCGGAGAGGTTTGGACAGCAAGAACCGGCCAAATGCAGCTGCGACCAGCATGTCCGCCATATCATATTATGGTTGCAATCAAGGCTGGCAGGAGTTTGGAGGCAGAACTCAACAGCAAGTACAAGTACGTGTGAGCTTGCCGACTTCGTGCCACCGCACGGATGCACACCTTCGTGGCGTCGGAATGGCTTTGCAGATCCGCCTTAATGCGCGAATGCCAAAGCGTTTTAGTCTCGTATGCATGTATGTACATATATACATATATATAAATAGATAGATCGAAAACTAGTTAGGGTGTCGGCGTGGATGCGATTTTGCACGGTAGCCGCATCGGATGGGTGCAGGAGCACGGGTTGGACGACATGCCGCATACGGGACTGCTCGGATCCGCTCGGTATGTCTCTGAGAATTGCGCTGCCCACCGTGAATACCACAGCGAGAGCTCGCACTGTCCCAACGGGACAAAACAATGCGCAAATACCATTGTTTTGTCTTCTCTCTTTCTCTCGCATATGTTTTTTTGCCACCCCTTGTTCAGGAAGGTGCCGACCCAGTGGAGCCCAAGGAGAAGGAGAAGCCACCAGGCCAAGCGCACTGGTCTGTAGCTACTGTAGCGTGAGAGATACAAGTCGAAAATCTCTCTGAAGCACCACGCCAAAGAAGTACACATACCTACTTTTCTTTACGATAGTATGCGGTCTGTATATTACGCTAGATCCTAAACCCGGAAGTGGACAAGCCAGGCCAGTTGTGAGAGCGTAAACCTGGAAGTGGAGTGGTTGTATGTGTGGTTTCTGCTTGGGAAATCTTGTTGTCGTGCCGGAGTTGGGCCGCTTCCGCTGTGTCACTTGTTCAGAGAACGCGGACCCCTGAGGCCTCGCCTGGCATGTCCGAGTTGTGAGAGCATAAACCCCCTACATAAATTGTCGGAGCTGAATCCAAAAACCAGAAGGGTTGCATAGGTTTCAGGGTGCAGGGCTTGCTGTGGCTCCCGGGCGACAAGGCATGCCCGCTGCAAAAGGGCTTGCTGGGCAGGTGTGGCTGCAAAAGGGCTTTCGCTTCCTATGGTTTGGACATGTCTTTTCAGCCTTGTAAACTTGTACACTAGGGTTTGGAGTCCACTATCGTCAAGGCTGAGCGGCTAAGGCCTCTATTCTACATCCTCAGCCTGCACGGGAAATGCTCACCTGGTGTTGCCGAACATCAGAGTCGAAACCCACGAGCAGTCATGCGTCACAAAACACGCAGAAACTGCCAGCAATGCGCTGCCTTTCTTTTAAAACCTTGGCAAGGCAAGCTTAAACAATGAAAGCAATGGTTGACCGGCAGCATTTTTTGTCACCTGGATATTATTAACTCGGTGCGACCATCTGTAAGACGTTGGAAGACAGACCTTCCTGCGCCTCGGGCATGTGTGTGTGTGTCAGATCCAGGAGCCCGAGCGGACATGTATACCAATATTTGATATGCAACAGCACCACTGCGCAACTTGCAGTGTACGGGGTTTTCACAGGCTTGCAACAGTAAGCCCTCAACTTCACAACTCGCTGGCCCGATTGCATGAGATGTGCTTATGGGCCCGCGCCCACTCAACAGTTAAAGCATCGACATCGCGGCAAAAAGGCGTTAGACCGTTAGACTTAGAACCCATGCGCAATGAACGCCAAACTCAACTTTGACGACTCCGGTGTAGTAAACTTTTGTGGGTTTTTGTGCACTCCCACACAGCAGGAGGCGACGAAGAGCCACCGAAGGAGCGGAGCCGCAGCCCGCGGGATGATGTGGCGAGAGGCCCCTTGGTCAAAGTAAGCCGAGTGTTGGTCTTTAGAGCTTACCTTACTGAGCCTTACTGTTTCGGGTTTCGGCAAAACCAGGGGAACGGCCCAGCACTTCCTGACTCTGCATGTTTTCTGGCATATCATGGCACGTTTAGGAGCGAGGGTAGGATGTGAGTCACTGTTGCTGTGCTGGCAGTTGGCATGTGAAGACAGGCATGTCTCCCGGAACCACAAATCAGACCTTTGGTTGGAATCGGTGAATGAGTGACAAATTGAGTGTGCGCAGTTCATGGTATCACAGGATGGGCGATCGCAGAGCGGCACTGTTTGGTTCCACGCGCGACACGAGCTAAATAGCCGTTTAACAGTGTACTCCGTCTCGGGTGTCCTCTGCACGCCGTCTTTCCTCATTGCATTTTCGGGTTGCAGTAAGCCCCTGTTTTTGCACCGATGCCTATGTGACGTGAGACGGCATGCAATGCTGCACGCAGGGGCTGCAGGGGAGCATCAAGCCGACTCCAGCGAAAACTCGGAGGAAAGCAGCCCGATTGCAGTTGCAGTCGACAGGTTGCGACAACGTATGTGGTTTGAACTCAACAGAAAATTGCTGCAACCGAATGCCACCTCTGAGTTGTGAAATTCTCTGGGATTGAGGGAGTTGAGTTAGCCGGCCTGATCCGCGTCATACAGCAGGCTCAGGGTGTGTATAAATGTGTCTCACTACCACATCCTCAAGATGTTGTTGCAGCGCAGCTGCGGCCGCACCAAGTCCAAGGTTGACTAAGGAGCAATGAATTTGGTGCAACGGCATAGATCTTCAGCTGAATCCACATCAACCAACACAACTTTTGGTTTTAGACTTCTCAGCTTTGAGTTGCCGTCTGGAGTCTAGCTTCACAGGGGGTCAGGCGGATTCAAGCTTGAGGTGATCAAAGCTGTTTCAAGGCTTGGCTTTGCTGGGCGAGGGAGAGGATGAGGGTCTTCTTCACAGCGGTTCATGCGTCGTCCTTAATGCCGCTGCCGCCAAGGGAAGCACAATCGGGACACTCCGCACTTTCACTGGACGCGTGGCCAAAAGTTGGGAACTGGTAACTACATCGTCCGGAAGCAGGCGCCGACCGTGTTTGCATAATATTGCGAGCGCTAGCACCTAGCACTCGGGATGCAAGTGCCGATTAATCCGTCTAGAACTCTCGCAACAAGCAGGTCAAACCGATTCAGTCCCAGAATGCCCTGTAACAACCGTATAGAGCGATCCAATCCCTAAAGGTCCTTAAGAGCAACCGTCGAGCTTACAAGTTCTAAGTCCGATGCGGCATCTTTGCAACCCCACTCCCCCCCC